CACACACACTCAAACACACACACACTCGCACACACAATCAGAAGCAGATGAATCTCATTTCAAAGACTACAGCTGCGTATAATTGGGCATGCAAGGGCAAAATAGAGTTATAGTCCCAAAAAAGAAAAAAAAAATCATAATGCCTAAAAAAAATTTAAGGATGGTTTTGGAAATAAGTAGGCCCATAGATGCAGTGCTGCTTAAATGATTCAAAAATAGAGCTGGAGAGGGAGAGTGAAGGAGGGAGAGGAGGAGAGGAGGAGAAGAGAGGCGGAAGGGTGCTAGGCCTTGCCTTGAAATGGAGAGCCTGACTGGAATACTAATGCATCTGAATTTATGCATCTACTCAGTCTGCAGCCCAGAGAGGGGGGTGGGGGAGACACAGAGAGGAGAGAGAAAAGGGTGTGAGGGTGGAGGTGAAAGGGGGCGGTTATGTAGAAGAAGAAGAAGAAGAAGAAAAAAAGTAAAACCATGGCTGATTGATTCCATCCATCTATTTTAGTTTGAAATAATCCCAGATTTCTGTGTGGGGGATAAAAAAAAAAAAAGAAGAAAAAAAAAAGACCCTGAATGGAAGAGGAGCAGCCAGCAGCCGAGCAAACAAGCAGAGCGAAGCCAAGCACACTGCAGTGTCTCCTCCACCTCACACCGAAGCAGTGTGGAGCTCCAGCACCAAAACACACAGAGAGTAACACTGTCCAAATATGTCTGTAATGAGTAACGCATACCTCCACATACATAACTTATACCAAAATGATTGACTTGGGGAAAATATGAGAAATCCAAACAGGTGCGAGATGAAAGCGTATTTGTGCGGTTTGAAAAGATGAACTTGAGGTAATCGTTTTTTCCAAAGTGCTGGAGGTTGGATGACTCTGTGGTGCACGTCAGCAGATAATTGAGGCTCTGAATCAGATGATGAGTATAAGCGCAGGCTGATCATCAGACAGGACAGTGACAATAGAGGTGTGGTGGCAGTTTGCAGGATGAGCAGGAGTTGTTTACTGACACCGGCTGACTCTCACTGTCTCCTTTCTCATAATCATCCCAAACCTTCTGTTCTCTTCTCATCTGTATCCTCTGTCAAAGTCTTTGGTTCAAAGTTAGAATGGCAAAAGTGTAAAAACTGACAAACAACATCATGAAAATTCCTCTAAATAAATTGTTTTCCAAAGCTTTTATTAACAACAGTGTTATTTTGCCCCCGATGCTTTAAAAGAGAAAATCTCTGAAGGTCAATAAAGTGAATGAAAAACATTAAGATAAAAGAGCGGTACGTTTAAAGCAGGGCAGCAGAAAAACTCAGAGAAGGCAGGAGAGAAAAAAAGTTGGTAAGATGCTGATATATGTGTGTGCAGTAAAAGTGGCGTGGTATGAGGCCAGAGAGAGGACGTCGCACATCGCATCTCTCTCTAATTAGATAGGAGGGGAAAGCACAGGGCTGCAGTGTAGTTGTCGTACGGAGAACGCACATAGGAACACAACAGCTGCCCACATGAGAGGATTCATACATGGGAATAATGAATATCGGCTGCCAGGCGGCCACATGTGACTGTTGGACTTTTCTGTTTCTTCTTCACTTTAAATGTACATACAGTAATGCTCCTTTACTTCTCCATCCTCCTCTGAGTCCTTCCAACAAAAGAAAATTGTAAGGTCATACATGTATTTTCATACCTCTTCTTTTAGGCCACTGTATCTGATCCTTGTCATCATACTGGTTGTTACAACTCCCTGTATATGTTAGTGGTTCCCAACCTTTTTAGCTTGTGGCTGCTTAAAAAAAGGATTATCATCTAATAATAACTTGCATATATGTTATTATAAGATTATCAAGTTCAACGTCAGAGGGATTTTTATCCTCTTGTTATTTGAATGTTTTTTTAAAACGCAAATAAAAATTTCCACATTTACAGTGAATCATGAGATATAAGCAAATTCTCAATTCACATCTTATTCTATGTTACACTTGCTG